AATCTCCACTTAGGATAGTCCTGTTCTTCTGAACTGACTTTATACTAGATTCTACCCCACCCTTTTATTTGTTTACCCTCCTGATTAATCTAACATGTTGTACTTTAACTGAATGCAAGCTGTGTTCCCTATTCACCACCATTAGTACACCAACTTTAAAGGGCCCCAATGATAGCCAGCAAAAGAAACCACTCAGAGGCTACCCCATTATACTCAATTTGCCTAAATTCCACCCTCTGTGACCTATATTTTGCCGTTCAAGACCAGTAAAGTTCTGCAGGCAGCCTTGGACCTAGCATAGCCACAACAGTGCAATAGTAGACAGTGTAGCTCTGGGGGGTTTAGACTTTTCCACTGTTATTCTGCCATTGCTGCAGTATTCTGTTTACGCTGACCTGGGTGTTGATGATGGTACAAGGCCCAAGTATTTACCAACTACTACATATGAGTGATTCTGTACAAACCTATGCATAGATGTAAGTTTCCAGCATTCATATATATATTTTACTTTCCAACTGTTCTATTATCTGTATCATTGAGACTGGGTTGATGTGATGCCTTAATGTATTGTCGGTAGTAGGGGCGGACTGACCATTTAGAAACGAGGGCCCGGGGTCAGTAGGGTGCCCCCGGTACCTTTTTCATAGGCTTTTTTGAGTTTGGGCAAGGACACAGGGGCCCCATGATCCCCTATTGCCCGGAGGCCCCATGAGTTGTCAGTCCGCCCCTGGTCTGCAGTTTTTGGTGAAACTTAAAGAAGTACAACAAAAGCTCTTTTGGATGTACTTCTCCTGTGGGTCACAGGAGTGCAGTTTGATCTGCACTCCTGTGGACCGTTTTCACTCCACAGCCCAGTCCCCCAAAGAGTGAGGATGGGGGAGGGGGGGCAGAGCAGACTGTCAGACTCTGGTCTATGCTCACAGTAGCAGTAAGAACTCAGCGATCATGTGATCGCACACATAGACCCGGCGGGAGATAGATGCTGAATCCACCTTAATAAGTATAATTTGGGGGAAAAAAAAGGTAAAACATCTTTTTTAAATATTGTGAATCTATCTGGGTGTGTCAGAGTGGTCAAGGAATTAAAACAGTCAAAGCCGGTATCAGAGGATCCAGTGAACCAGAAAATGTATATTATACATTTGTCTATAGTGCACCTAGAGGCGCCTTCCTCTCTTTTTCATGATCCAGTGAACCATCATTTCCTTTGGCGGTGGTGCTACACATGCATGAAAGTGTGCTGTGAAAGTATAGTGAGTAATATTTTGCCTCCCAAGGAGGTGTACCTTTATTAGAAGTATGTAATGGTAAAAACATCCAAAGAATATGATGGCAAGGACAAGGTAGGAGAACCGTCCGCTCCTCAGGTGTGCCAAACTGAAGAGAACTCCGTGGGTAGCTGGAATCATGGCGTTCCGGAACAGACACCCACTCATGGGCCATAATAAGCAGATCCCATCGCACTCCAATTTATGGTCACATTCCCAAAAGCAGCCTTTTTCAATCATTTTACCCCAGAGGAACCTTTGAAATAAATGTTCAGATCTCATGGAAACTCTGCTGAAATGTATTTATTTGGGGGTCAGTGAGGAAATGCCCATCTTACTGTGGTGGTTGGAATGTTACACTTACAGGGAGGTAAAAAGATTGTTGGCGTCATGCTACTGACTCTGCAACATGGCATGGGAGCCTTACCTATGCAGGCTTCATCAGATGGGAGGTAAGTCAGCCAAAGGCTTAAGAAGAATGCCTTCTGGAGGAACCTCAGGGTTCTACAAAACGCTGGTTGACAACGGCCACCCTAAAATTTCAGCAGCAGAAGTGAAAATTGGAAAAAAATGTATTTATTTGGGGGTCAGTGAGGAAAATTCCCATCTTACGGTGGTGGTTGGAATGTAACACTTACAGGGAGGTAAAAAGATTGTTGGCGTCATGCTACTGACTCTGCAACATGGCATTGGAGACGCACCTATGCAGGCTTCATCAGATCGGAGGTCAATCAGCCAAAGGCTTAAGAAGAATGCCTTCTGGAGCAGGGGCGGACTGACAATTCATGGGGCCCCCAGGCAATAGGGGCTCATGGGGCCCCTGTGTCCTTGTCCAAACTCAAAAAAACCTATGAAAAAGGCACCAGGGGCATCTCATGGGGCCCACTACTGACCCCGGGCCCTCTGGCAGTGTCTGAGTTTCCAAATGGTCAGTCCGCCCCTGTTCTGGAGGAACCCCAGGGTTCTACAAAACGCTGGTTGACAACGGCTGCCCTAAAATCTCAGCAGCAGAAGTGAAAATTGGAAAAAATCAGGCCCAGATCTAGGGGGGTGCTGGGGTGGGCTATGCCCCCCTCAGACTTTAGTTGTGCACCCCCAGATCTGAGAGTGAATTCACAAAGCCCCGGGCAATAGGGGATCATGCGGCCCCTGTGTCCTTGCCCAAACTCAAAAAAGCCTATGGAAAAGGTACCAGGGGCATCTCATGGGGCCCCCTACTGACCCCGGGCCCTCGGGCAGTGTACCAATTTCCAAATGGTCAGTCCGCCCCTGTTCTGGAGGAACCCCAAGGTTCTAAAAAACCCTGGTTGACAACGGCTGCCCTAAAATCAACAGCAGAAGTGAAAATTGGAAAAAAATCAGGCCTGGATCTAATGGGGTGCTGGGGTGGGCTATGCCCCCTCAGATTTTAGTTGTGTACCCCCAGACATATGAGAGTGAATTCACAAATCCATGAGACCTGATGGGGACAGTTGATGTAAGAGAGCAATCTGAGGGGGGCAATTGATGTAAGGGGTCACTCTGATGGGGACAGTTGATGTAAGAGGGCACTCTGAGGGGGGCAATTGATGTAAGCAGGGACTGTTATAGGAACTCTGATGTAAGGAGGAACTCTCAGAAGAACTCCTGATATAAGGAGGGACTCTGTTAGGGACACCTGATATAAGGGGACACAGGTTCTGTTTAATCACCTAAACTAATGACAGCATTCCCAGTTCAGTCCTGCACCACCTCTGCACTACCTGGTGATGACTCTGTGGTACAGAAGTGTGCCAAGCGAACAGGGAATACTGGTTTCATGCATCCCTTTCACAGTACTGACATTACGCCCCCTGACTTTTTTTCACTGCACCCCCAGATCAGACAGGTTAGATCCAGCCCTGAAAAAAATTCTCCTAAAAATGAGTTTGACCCTATAGGGACAATGTCTCCTCACTTCCTTTTCCCTGACATTAGTTACTGGGACAGAAATGTGGTGGGGGATCTTTCCAGTGAAGACCATTGTGCAAAACCTAGAAGGCAAAAAAGTTCCACCTTAAGTTCTGGTTATTACAAAATTTCTACTACGAGCAGGGGTGGACTGACCATCCAAGTGTTCGGGCACTGCCCGAGGGCCCAGGGTCAGTAGGGGGCCACATGACATGCCCCTGGTAACTTTCATAGGCTTTTTTGGGTGTGACTTGAGTGTGGGCGAGGACACAGGGGCCCCATGATCCCCTATTGCTCGGGGGCCCCATGAGTTGTCAGTTCACCCTTGACTACGAGATGAGAGCTACTTCTTGGTCTCTCTCGAGAGCTTTGAGATGAAAGCGATGACATGGTAGGCGATGTGGTGGAATGGTCGTTCCCTCTCAGAGCAAGCTGGATACAAAAATGACACAAAGCTTTGAAAGTGATCTCCACCAGATACAAGCAGCTTAAAAAGTCCAAAGCAAACAGCTCCTTCACAGATGTATTGTACGAAGACTCAACGTTTACAAATGATGCCCAACAGGAGCCACTCATCCTCAAGCCTAGACACGGAGGATCTCCTCCGAATTCCTGGAGTCTGGCGTGATGTTGGATCTTGAATTAAAACGTCACTTTTAAGTGGAGAGGAGGAAGTCAACTCTCAAGAGCTTCTCTTCTGCTTTTGTCGCACGAGGAGCGCAGAGACATGAACAAGCAGCTGTGCAGATCCGGAACTCCCGATAACAAAGGAGCAGGTGTTTCATGTATCTTTAATGTGGTGCCGAAACAAAAGGAGTAAAAAGTCGTCCATTGTTCTTCCCTTGAAGTATTGTCATCAATTAGCTCTTACAGAGACACCGACTTACTACAAAGCAGCAAAGCATGAAAGCTCTGTAAACTTAAAGCTCGACACGGGGCAGGTAGAAAAATAAATGCAGCTCAATAGTCATTAATACATCAATAAATTAAATTATTTTAGGCCTGGTTCACACCAAGGCGTTTTTTTTTATTGCTTTTAAACGCACTACAGTTCACTTAACACGGTTTCCTATGGGACATGTTCACACCTAGGCTTTTTTGAGCTGATGAATTTTTTGGAAAGGGTCAGGGACTTTTTTTTAACCTCCCTGGAGGTATTCCCGAGTGTAGCTCGGGGTAAAGTTTCAGCACCAGAAGCGGTTACCCCCCCGAGCTACACTCAGGAATACACTGCAGCGTTGCTCCAGGATCCCTTCAGCGATGTCCCCCCTGCAGCGTCCCCGGACATCTCCTCCGGCTGATGCTGGCATTTGTCTTCTGGGTTCCGTTCCCTGCGAGCGTCGGGACGTACGGGGGGGACGGAACTGGCGGGAAATTTGAAAATTTTAAAAAGTGACATTCACTAAATACACTAAAATCACATAGTATAACATTCCTGTATCAAACCATTTCACATACATTGTGTCCCGAGTGCTTTGTCCGGCGCCCTGCCTGCATTTTTACTGTTCTTTCTGCCTGGAAACTGAGAAACGTCCATGGCGTCCAAAAAGCGTCCCTTTAGGTCAGACGTGGTTTTAGACCGGCTAGAGAACAGCGATAGTAAATCAGAACCACTTGCAGAATTGAGTGATAATGATTCAAATCCTTGACGGAGTCTATTCCACACTTTCACAGTCACCTCACTGGGTATATGGAAGGGTTCACAGCCACTTGAAGGGTTTGTCCACCCAAAACCGATGTGTCTTAGTACATGCCGGCTGGTTATTATTTAAGCCAGTGTTTCTCAACTTTTTTTCAGTCAAGGCACCCTGTAAAATTATGGACAGTCTCGAGGCACCCTTTAAATTTATGAACAGTTTCGAGGCACCCTTCACAATTATGGACAGTCCCGAGGCACCCTTCACAATTATGGACAGTCCCGAGGCACCCTTCACAATTATGGACAGTCTCGAGGCACCCTTCACATTTATGGACAGTCCCGAGGCACCTTTTTAAAATTATATACAGTCCTGAGGCACCCTTCACAATTATGGACAGTCCCGAGGCACCCTTTAAATTTATGGACAGTCCCGAGGCACCCTTTAAATTTATGGACAGTCCCGAGGCACCCTTTAAATTTATGGACAGTCCCGAGGCACACTTTAAATTTATGGACAGTCCCCAGGCACCCTTTAAAATTATGGACAGTCCCGAGGCACCCTGTAAAATTATGGACAGTCCCGAGGCACCCTGTAAAATTATGGACAGTCCCGAGGCACCCTGTAAAATTATGGACAGTCCCGAGGCACCCTTCACAATTATGGACAGTCCCGAGGCACCCTCCACAATTATGGACAGTTTAGAGGCACCCTGCACAATTATGGACAGTCCCGAGGCACCCTGCACAATTATGGACAGTCCCGAGGCACCCTCCACAATTATGGACAGTCCCGAGGCACCCTTTAAAATGATGGATAGTCCCGAGGCACCCTTTAAAATTATGGACAGTCTTGAGGCACCCCATTCTAAATTGTGAAAAAGGATTCTAATAGTTTTATATAAAGCAGCAACATCCACACAAATAGGACACCCAACATCAGAGGAGATCTAATCTTCTAAAGCAAATACAATTTTGCACACTGGTACTGACTAGTACTCCAGTGTTTCCTCTCCTCTCCCTCAGTTTATCTCCATGACTGAGCTAATGTGTCCCCAGCACTGATGGAGAGGGGCAGGGGGGAGGGGCAAACTAGGATGCTGTGCAGGCAACCAGCATCCTCCATATCACTGATGATGTCATTGGTTGTCAGGACGTTGGCGACTAGAAGGTAGTAATGGCGCACAATGAAGACCTGTGGTTTTGTGTAACTAAAAGGCCGGCTTTTCCCACCCACTGGCTTGTATACATGTTTTGGGCAATTTTGAGACATTTTTACCAAGGCACCCCTGAAGAAACCTCAAGGCACCCCAGCGTGCCTGGGCACCCTGGTTGAGAAAGGCCGATTTAAACTGCATTGTCGCCTCCTTTGGAAGGAAACGTTACAAACAAAAGGGAACACCAATACCGAATTCCTTTCATGAGTTTGTTCCACACAGGTCTTTGGCTTCACATTTTCCGTGACGCAGGTAGAAGGCCAGGTCTCGTAGGAGTTCCACACCAACTCAATGGCGAGCCTTTCAGGTTTGTCAGCACTTCCAGAACGGATAATCTTTGTGTTCTGAAACAACGTGCAGCTTGTAGACGGCGAGCTTAGTAATTAGACTCACACAGCGTTGCTCAATACACCAGGCACGGAGAGATCAGCAGATCTCATAAACAAGAGAAAAAGTCTAATTAACAGACGGAGCGGGAAGACCTCGGCCTTCCTTATGTGTAAACACGACTCAGTTGATTAAATCATTACAGCTATTCGATACGATCTGTTTGTTGGAGAATAGCATAAACATTTACATACCGCCAGTAAACCATCGCTGAGAACGGCCTGTAACCTCGTTAGTTATGTGTGGGAGAACGTTTCATCAGGAACTCCAGCCGCGTCGTTTTTAGGGAACCCAACATATGATTGGTTAGAAGTTCAGGCAGGCGAGACCTGGCTCTGTTAGCAGATAGTGGGGTATCTAGAGAGCCTCAATTAGGATAATAAATTGAAATGAGCCGTTGGCCTTGTTGACTTGTACTCAGCCCAGTAGAGTGTTGGTGGATGGAGATTTATTTGGATGGTCCTTGGGTTAAACCCCCCACACGTTTTAGTGGCTAGCTGCAGATTGCAGTACTTGAATTGATCCAGGCTATGCGTATTGAAGCAATTTAAAATTTCAAACACGCAGTAAAAGCACGTAAGAAAACTCTCAATCATCTTTAATTAATTGGGCAACTATGCGGCAAATGAGGTTTAATGTTGATAAATGTAAGGTTCTGCACTTGGGGGCTAAGAATATGCATCATACATACTAGGGGGGGTACAACTGAGGGGGTCAATGGTGGAAAAGGATCTGGGAGGTCAATGGTGGAAAAGGATCTGGGGGGTCAATGGTGGAGAAGGATCTGGGTGTGGTAAATGGTGGAGAAGGATCTGGGGGTCAATGGTGGAGAAGGATATGGGGGGTCAATGGTGGAGAAGGATCTGGGGGGTCAATGGTGGAGAAGGATCTGGGGGGGTCAATGGTGGAGAAGGATCTGGGGGGTCAAAGGTGGAGAAGGATCTGGGGGGTCAAAGGTGTGAGAAGGATCTGGGGGGGGTCAATGGTGGAGAAGGATCTGGGTGGGGTCAATGGTGGAGAAGGATCTGGGTGGGGTCAATGGTGGAGAAGGATCTGGGTGGGGTCAATGGTGGAGAAGGATCTGGGGGGTCAATGGTGAAGGATCTGGGGGGTCAATGGTGGAGAAGGATATGGGGGGTCAATGGTAGAGAAGGATCTGGGGGGTCAAAGGTGGAGAAGGATTTCTGGGGGGGGT